GCTACTTGGGTTTACAACCTCACCCCACCCTCTGCTGTGCTGTGCTGACCCACACATTCTGCACTGTGCTATGACAAACCCTATGCCTGCTGCTCCAACCACACCAGGGCATCACACAAGTGCATTTCATCATGGAGGAAAGATGTGTGCTATGGAGCTCCCCTCCCAGAGCAGTGCCAATCTTGAGCCCTACCATTCTCATTGTATTTGCTTTGCTCTGGCCACCTTGGGCTTAAAATGCCACCTGACTGGCAGCTTTTGATTCAGACTGCCATTCCCCTCAAAATGCCCAGGATGATGAAGAAAACAAGAGCAAATGGCATTTTAAAGAGCAGATAGGCACCAAGGCAGAACAAATTCCCTAGTCTGCAGGATTTCCATGGGTCTCTTAGCCCAGCCTCTAGGTGAGGCCCGCATTCAGAAAACACCACAGCCCAGGCTCTAGTGCCCCCGGACAGAGGGAGGTCTTGCTTGCTACAGCCCCCAGAACTTCTGTGTCTGGAGCCATTGTGAGCCCAAGGTTCCTAACAAAGAAGAGGCAGGAAGTGGGGGTAGGATTTGGCAGTGACACAGTCTGGGTGTAGCATGGCAGGTCTGCAGCTGAGTCCTGGTGACTGCCCTGGGCATGTCATGCAGGCCTTGGAGCCCCACAACGCACATCAGGGAAGGAAAACACAGGGCGGCACCATTACATCTGCCTCGGGGGTGTGCTTTGGCCTTGCAGTTCAGCCACCGCATGTCACACCTTTGAGTTTGAGTCCTAGCCTCTCCACTTCCAGTCCAGTTTCCTCTGAAGGTCACATCAGAGGCAGCAGGGGATGTTGGGTAATTGGGTCCCTGCCACCTCTGGGTGGGCTCCAGGCTCCTGGTTTCAGCATGAAGTGGCCCTGAATATCAGTGGCATCTGAAGAGAAAACCAGCAGATGAAAGAGCCCTGTCTCTGCCTGGGCTGTACCCTCAGTAGAGAGGTTGGGGAAAGGCGCCAGGAGCTCATTGGGGAGACGTCACTGAATGCTGACATGAACCCAGAGTGGACGAGAGACTGGGCAGACCCCACAGCTGCCCTGCATGGACCAAGTCAGCCAGCCAGGTAGATGCGAGCAGAACAAGGACAGGGAGGCATAGAGGACACATCCACTTCAGGAAACGGAATCCCTGAAACTTATGTGCTCAGGTGGGATAGGGCTGTGACTTCTATGTGAGATCCCAGGCACAGTGCTGTAGTGCCCATACCCCACAGGAGGAAGGAGGGAGCTCAGACAGGGTCCAGACTGGTCAACACCTGCACAAGGTAATGCAGCCTGTGGGGCGGGGGAGTGACAGGGCTGTGAGGGGTGTGGTCGTTGTGTTGCTCAGCTCTGACTGCCACTATACAACACGGGTACAGGAAGCACAAGTTCCCAATCTACTTGGTGAAGGCAGTGTGGATTCTCTTAGAAATTGTAAAATGACTGAGGCCTCTCTTTGGGGCAGCTACCACAACAAATCTCCAAGTAGGTTCACAAACTTCTCAGCCCAGCAACATCCAAGGACCACATAACTCCATGACACCTGAGGTCAAAAGCTACAATCCTGCAAATGGGAAGGTAGAATTTTGCTCAGTGCTGGCTATGTAACACAATGTCTCGCCCTTGTGATCACCATGAGTCACAGATGAGCCCTGAGCCAGACTGGGCTGTCACAGCTCACCTGGGGAACAGCCCCTACCAAACAGAGGTCACACAGCCCCTATGTCCACACTCACTTAGTGAGGTCAGATGTCCCCTGTGTCCACACTCACTCAGTGAGGTCACACGGCACCTGTGTCCACACTCAGTGAGATCACACGGCACCTGTGGCTACTATTACTCTGTGAGGTCACATGTCCCCTGTGTTCACACTCACTGAGGTCACATGGCCCTTGTGCTCACACTCACTCAGTGAGGTCACACGGCCCCTGTGTCCACACTCACTGAGGTCACATGGCCCCTGTGCTCACACTCACTCAGTGAGGTCACACGGCACCTGTGTCTACTATTACTCTGTGAGGCCACACAGCCCCTGTGTTCACACTCTGTGAGGTCACACGGCCCCTGTGTCCACACTCACTGAGGTTACCCGGCCCCTGTGTTCACACTCACTCAGTGAGGTCACCCGGCCCCTGTGTCTACTATCACTCTGTGAGGTCACATGTCCCCTGTGTCCACACTCACTGAGGTCACATGTCCCCTGTGTCCACACTCACTGAGGTCACCCGGCCCCTGTGTTCACACTCACTCAGTGAGGTCACCCGGCACCTGTGTCTACTATCACTCTGTTTGCTCACACGGCCCCTGTGTTCACACTCACTCAGTGAGGTCACTCCACACATGGGGATAATGTTGGGATATACACACCTTCACCAGTCTGCCTCAGGTTCTCCTTCTGGGTACTTCCCTTTCATGGTTCCTCTCAACCCTCTAAACTTACTGAGCACAGACTCCCTGCAGACATGTGCCACAGCCAGTGTGGTTTCAGTTTGTGTTTTCCTCATGTTCCACGATGTTGGGCTTTTTTTATCTTCCTGTTGACCAGCCCTGCAACCCTGGGGAAATGTCTCCCTAGCTCCTCTTCTTTTTTGCTGTTTGGCTGGTGAAAATCTTGTCTGTTATGGATACCAGCCGTAGCAAGAGGGAAACATTGCTCCCAGCCCAGGGGCAGTGGCTGCCCCCAGTAGCATGTCTTATGGGGCTGGTTCACCCACATGGTTCAGATTCACATTACCCTGCAACATATCATCTATGGCTGAATTCTTCTGGTATTTCAGCTGAGCTGGAATGGAATACTCCAAGGAATCACAACAGGACCGCGCACAGAATTGGTGCATGTGCTGCCCTCTGGGAGGGGAGCTGAGCTGAAATCTGCAGGAAGGGAAGTGGGGACAGCATCAACAGCAGGAGTGAACTGGCTACTCCATGCCTAGGAACACAGTGGGAGTGAGCTAGCTGGCCGCTCCATGCCCTGGGACACAGAGCAGAGGGAGCAAGCTGGCTGCTCCATGCCCTGGGACACAGAGCAGAGGCAGGAGACAGCACCTGAGGGCAAGGGCACCTGGTCTCTTGTTGAGAGCTAAGGAGTTGATTAGCATTTGTTAAGCTTGGCTCCTGCAGGAAATGGGCTTTGAGGCTAGTGGCACCTTGTCTGTCAGACTCATTAGCATCCGATTGTTCTGCTAGGGGCTTGGGGGGAAAAGTATATATGGCTGAATAAAGGGAGGTCTGAGAGACCTCTTCCACCATTACTGGTCTCCTGTCCGCGTTTCATTCCCTGACCCTCGCCGTGTCCATGTTACTGGCTCTGCTGGCCGGAACAGTCTCTGACCAGCAGCATTCTGGTGGAAGCCTTACCCATTCTGGGTAAGCATCCAGCCCAGAGGAAACTCATCTAACACTGGCTCTAATTCCAGGACAGTGTCCTGGTGACGGCCACAACACTCTACCTATCTGACTCCTGTAACAGATTCTCTTCTCCATCAGGATACATGGCTGATGCAAGTTAGTAGCTGCAGAAAGTCGGGCAGTGGTGTTGCTTCCTGTGTACCTGTCCATTCTGCACAGGCAAGCAAAGTGCTCACACCAGACTTCCTAGCCACCAGGCAACAGCCAGGCTTCCTGAACAAGTCCCTCCCAGGTCACACTCCCACCATGCCTTGCACAACACCAGCTCACACCCAAGACAGGGTCCCAGGCCTCCCCAGGCATCTGACAGCCTCCTAGGCTGCCTAGCCCACCTCAGTGCCCAGTCTGGCATCTGACAGCCCTACACCTACCTGACTTGTCTGTGTCTCCACTCCAAAATGTAGACCTCAGGCTGGCCCTGGCAGGCCTTGGCACCTTGCCATCCTTTACTTCCCAACTCACAGTTGGGGCCCAGAAAGTACTCTGTGGCAGTCTGTGGACTACTGGTATATCAATTAGTTTCAACAGTGACAATTCTGAAACACCCAGCACCAGGGCAGGGAGACACGGATTTCTTTGGGTTGTTATCCACCTGCCAGGAGCTGTGCTCCGCACTTCCCACCCACTTCGCCTGTACAACAGCCATGTCATAGGGAAAGGCATACCTAGAGACTGTCAGGAATTTGTGAGGCTACATAGCCCAGCAGAAGAGTTGGGCCCAAGCCCTGAAAGGCCAGCTGTCTTCAGAACCCAGACTCGGATTCAGGGGACTCTGTTTGGACCAGTGGGAGCCCACAGGTGGAAGCATGTACTGGAACTCAGAGTCCCTAATCCATCTCTCACTTGTCTCTCCCAATCCATCCATCTCACCCATCCCACTCATCCCACCCATCCCACCCACCCGACACATCCTACCCATTTCTCATGCCCCACCTGTTGATAGGAACAGTCTGACTATAAGTACTTTACATTTACATTGCTCCAGCAAAACATGACCATAAATAAAAATGGAGCTTTGGGAAATATGGGTTGGAGTACTATTAACAATCTTAATTGTATCCTCAATATTGTTATAGTTTTATCAGAAATTGATGATCCAGAAATAGCTGCAATAATAGACCTCCTTTGCAAGTTATGCTGTGACTTAATAATGGATATAGTGTGTATGTTAGAGTCTTTTAACAAAGGTGACTCCATCTTCCTAAACTACTGGTGAAATGGGGCCTCCTCTCCTATAGCTCCTGTCAAGAGACTCCTAGGCGCACAAGCCCTCCCCTTATCACCTTTATCAAGAAGCCACCATGTACGTAAGCATGTCATGGTAGAAATGATAAAGAAGAAATAATTGTATACTAATGAATATGTATGTTTTGAGAATGAATATGCATGCTTCTTAGAATTGAGAGAAAGCAAGTGTTACTGATAGATAACATGTAATAGCCAATCAAAACATTGTAAGCAACTGCCTGCCTTGCCCCTGGATTTGTATATAAACCCATGCATTTGTCCCAGTCACTGAAGCCAGCAGGCTCCCACTAGACCGGAGCCAAAAGCCCCTGGGCTTCCACTCGAACTTGCAGGCTCCCACGAGACCGGAGCCAAGGTCTTGGGCTTCCACTCGAACTTGCAGGCTCCCACGAGGCCGGAGCCAAAGGCCTAGCAGACTTCCACGAGACTGAAGTCAAGAGGCACTCTCGGTGGCTTCCCCCATCCTGTTTGGTGTGTGCTTGCCTGAATAAATGCTTGAATGCTTGATTGCAAAGCATCCACTCTCGACTCTTGGCATTTGTTCTGGTGACCGGGCTCGGTGTTCGCGATACCTGTCCACCCAGCTAACGTCCACCGACCCCGAGACCCCAGGTCTGTGTGTAAGGAACAGCAGCCTGTGGCTGTGGAGGCAGCAATGGTGAAAAGGCTGTGCCACTCGTGGCTACACAGTGAGTGTTGAACATGCCAACCCAAGACGCGCTGCACACCTGGGGAAGCCACACCTGCATCCGCACAGCCGACACTTGCTGATGCTTACCCTGAATCCTTGTCATTTAGTCCCATGTTGGCTTCCCCAGCGACTTCGATGTTCTCTGCTTAACAACATTGAACTGCTCTGTTCTACTCTTTGTAAAGATTGATTTATTTGAATGCAGAGTGAGAAAGATTGTTCATCTACTGGTTCACTTGACAAATGACCGAGATCTCCAGGGTCAGTCAAACTGGAGGCAGGAGCCAGAGTTCCATTTGAATTACTCTAGTGGGCAGAGGGATAAGCATTTGGGGCATCTCTGTTGCTTGCCCGGGGTGAACAGAAGGCCAAGTGGGAATTCATGGTCTGATACAGAATGTTGGTGTCACAGCCCATGGGCTAGCTTATTCACTCAGGGAGAGGCCATTTTTCACTGGCATATAGTTACTCAAGCTCAGAATCAGAATCTACTAGGGGACTGGGACTTTTCTGCTGAGGACTACACCATTAAATCATGAACACAAAACTAGGTCAGCAAGGACAGCAGCGAAGAAAACAAAGAGAACTGCACAGTAAAATTGAGGGAAAACAGACAAGTGGGGTGACACCCATGTTTAGTCAGTAGCACACAGCTCTCCTCACCTCACCCAGTGCACAGCACTCAGCTCTCCCCTTCACCAGGACACAGCATTCAGCTCACTGCACTCTGACTGTAGCATGTGAACAACCATGTTTGGTTCCTATGTAGAAGTATTTCTCTAGGTTACTTTCATTTTATGGTTCCTGATCTTACAACAGCTGAGAATATCTCTGGGTCCCTCTGCTAATCTTCGCAAGTTTTCAAATGCTCATAGCTGTGCAGGGTAGCCTTCCCAGCACTGACTCTCCTGTAGCAAATGGAATCTCCCATTTTCCCCAAGGCATTCTGGAAATAATCCTTGTGTGTTTACATTGGATCCCTGACCTCCCTGCCCCTGGAACTCCACACAGAGTGAGACCCCCTTCTTGTGAGAGATGTCCAGCCATAAACTTCTAGGGGCTCCACATGCAGCCTCAGCCCTGACCCCACCCCCAGCTGTATCACCCACAAGGCTACATGGGACCAGGCATGGCCACCACAGTCTGCACCCCAGCACTGAAACCAGAAGGGAAGTGACCAGTGTGCAGGACACCCTCCCACATCAAGTCCGACTGCACAGGGGCTAACTGGCAGGTAGGAGGCTGTACCACAAAATGTGGGGACATCCCAGAAGAAACATATGCTGCAGGCCCTATGGAAAACAGGCCCAACCCAGATAAGGGCCATCCCAAGCTGGCCCCCAAGTAGCCAAGCAGTTGTAGGAGCAGAGAGCAGGTGCCCCCATCTGTGTGTTTGCTAGGCCACTGGGACACATGGCCTTAACCACAGCAACAGCCTACCAACAGCACCCCACCAGGGATTCCCATGGGAAATGCCAAAAGCCGCAAATGCCTTCAAATCTTTGCTTCAAGGATAGCACCCAGGCCCAAGCTCCAGGTGGGTCACAGCAGGTGCTGTCACTCCGCCCCAAGTGCAGGAAATGGCAGAGACCATCTAACCCTGTTGGACTTCACAACTCACTTGCACAAACTTCTCTATTTCTAGAAAACTCCTGAGCTTTCTTGAGTTTTCAAGAGCTCAGGGTGACATAGAGCTCTTCAAAACATTACTGTTCTTATACATGGAAGAATTGGTCACATGAAATACGTGTGAAAGCACTCCTGATGGTGTGCCTGCAGGGTAGAGGAGCACCAGGACGGCGCACATGGGAGTCACAGCACCAGGATGGCACACACCGGAGTCACAGCACCAGGACGGCACACACCGGAGTCACAGCACTGGGATGGCACACACTGGAACCACAGCACCGGGACGGCACACACCGGAGTCACAGAACCAGGATGGCACACACTGGAACCACAGCACCGGGACGGCACACACCGGAGTCACAGCACCAGGACGGCACACACCGGAGTCACAGCACCAGGATGGCACACACCGGAGCCACAGCACCGGGACGGCACACCCTGGAACCACAGCACCAGGATGGCCCATGCTGGAGCCAAACAGGAAGATGCATGTGTGTCCTGCTCTGTTACTGTGGCACTCTTGGTGGCCCAGTCTTCATCTACTATTACTTGGGACCCAGAATTGGGGCAGGGCACCTCCATGAGCAGCAATGTACAGCACACTGAGTAAGGGCCACTTACCTATCCCCTGCCCAAGAGCTGCACATGCCAGTTTGCCCCACCCCTGGTATAGCACTCATTCCTTCAGTTTCCCTCGAAGCCTGAACTCAGGAAGGCACAGCCACCTGTGCCGGATGCCACAAGCTGAGCTGGGAGACCAGCCGTGCACTGGCTCCAGATGGGTCAGAAGCCACAGACTCACTAATGAGCACAGAACAGCTGCACATGAAGGCTCTGTGTCTGAACCCCCGCTGTGGCATCATTAATTCATGGGGTCTCCCCAGCAGGTTGGAGGGAGAACACAGACCTGCAAAGTTCAGCTTCCAGGCCAGGCCATCATTCCCCATTCTAGGGCCTGCACAGTCAAGGCTCACACACAGAGGGCTAGATCCCATAGAAAGACTGTCCACAGAGGCACTTTGTCCACACAAGGGCATGTCCACTGGACACTGTGTACAAATCACAGCCCAGAGGAGGACTCTATTTACAGAGGCACTTTTTCCACAGGACTCTCCACAGAAGAACTCTGTCCAAAGGATTCTGCCCACAGAAGGACTCTGTCCACAGAACTCTGTCCACAAGACACTGTTCACAGCGTGATTCTATCTCACACAGGCACTCTGTCCACCAAGGGACACAGTCTACAGGGCTCTATGTGGACTCCATTCCAGAAACGTCACGGCTTTTACTGCTGTCACATCAAGGGCTAAAGGCCCATTGAGAAGGAGACAGGAAATGCTTAGCACTCAAACGCACGTCTCCCTGTACCTCATGCGACATCTGACAGAGTGCAGGTAGGAATCAGCCATTTCACTGTTCCTCTGTGAAATGGCACAAGGCTTAGGTGTGCCAAACCTTGTGTATCCGTTAACTGATAATTTGCACCAAATATATTCAGGCAACATCCACCACGTGCTCACCACTCAACCAACAACTTCCAGTCTTCCATCACGTCCTCACCCTCCTCACAGGCATCACCTCCCTGGTGCCCGTCACCTTCACCCTCCTCACTGGCATCACCTGCCTCATGCTGTCACCCTCACCTTCATTAGTGATATCATCTCCTTTGAAGTTCATTGTCCCCTCACAGATTCCTATGTCCACTGTAAGATCGACCCCCCTATCCCTGGCCAACTTTTCCTTTTCTGGAGCAGTCGCCTCCATGAGAAAAGTAGCTGACAGTTATGGCTGTAGCCTGCTGTTCTCTATGGCCACAGGTTCCAGAAGGCTTAAGACTCTCCCCATTGGGCCAAAGCAGAAAGCAAAGGCCACTCTAGCTCAAGAACTGCCCAAGTTCGGCGAAAGCAAGCATACTGGCTGCAGTGACCACAGGCACCACAGTGCTGGCCTTAGCAGAAGTGCCAACACAAAGGCCCGGGTCTTACTCCTGCCTCCTGGTGCCTTTCTTAGCATCTGAGCACTCTGCTCGTGCACAGGATTTATACACTCAGACACCTGCTTCCTGGCTGTGCCTATTTCCAAGGCTTATTCTCCAGCCATGTTCCAGAACTGTGGAAGTGTTGGGGGATGGGATGGAGGCAGGCATGGAAAACGGAGAGTCACAGTGCAGAGAGCCTGGTTATGAGCATTTGGGGCACTGTGCTGAAGCCCCAGGGCTTCTTGATCTCAGCAAGCTTTCATGAGATCAATTTTGACTATCCTCTCAGCATTTCCAAAAGAGTGGTGTGCATACTTTAGACTCCCTGTTCCGTTCCCACATGGACTGCTGTTACAGTGTGTATGACTCAGGATCCCTGTTCCCAGTGCTCACGGACTGCTCACTACCACTCCAAGAGCCTAAAGACCTGTCTTGAAGCAACAAGGTGAACTTGGCAAGGCTGGAGACAGGAACCTGCAGGGCCAGCCCTGCTGCACACAGCTGAGTCAAGGGTCAATGCGACAGGGAACTAGGGCCACAGAGACCCAGGGACTTCTGGCCCTGCCCCAACGTACAAATTCAAATGAAATTAAAGTGTCAGATCATTCACTCAAGCACTTGTCCACAACTTAATAGATCCTGTCAACCCTTTTGCCAGCGCTGCAAAAATCATGCCCTGTGATGCCCAGCTTGGCCAGCAGGTGACAGCAGTGGGATAGAGGCAGCTCGACCCAGTAATGCCCTGGTTGGCCAGCAGGTGGCAGCAGGTGGCAGCAGGGGGCCCTTGCTAGAATCCCATTCAGGCGCTTGCAGTTAGCAACTTTGTTTCCACACAAAATCTGGCTGGCATCCAGTGAGGTGAACACTGAGAATGTGTCTGGGTCACGCCTCCCTTTACAGCTGCCCCAGCACAGCTACAGGCACTTGAGGCATGCGGGGCGTGTTTACAGGAGAGCTTCTATAGCCCTCAGTATAGCCCCTCATCTGGAAATTCAGCAGCAGGCTGACGCAGATGACGCTGATGCTGCTTTCCCAATACTGGGATTTCCCACATCATCCCACAGGTTGGGAGGTGCAGACATGTGCAGTTGGTGCTCCCTCCCCATTTGCAGTAGCAGGTGCCCACCTCCTGGTAATACAGGCCCAGTCAGCAGGGAGACTGCCAGGCTACCCTGGAGACCCTCCTGCTGCTTCATGGCAACTCCGAAAAGTTCTTGGGCCTTCTCCAGCCCACAACAGAGGCAATGGGGCTCAGAAACACTGCTTCCCAAAGTCAATGGACATGGGCTGAAGGCAGGGAGGTCAGTGCCCACGCACCTGCACCTGCCTGCATTTCACAGCGCTGGTCAGCACCCAATGTGATGAATGACCATGGGTGTGGGTGCAGCACACCTTCACCCACTGACTCACACTCACTCCCTGAAGGATGCTGACAGTGCTCCTCAGCCCTGGGATCTGGGGTGGAGGAGTCAGAGCTGGCTTGGCTCCCACAACACTGAGGGTCTCTAGTACACACACAGGTGAATGGGCACTCTTTGCAAACTGCAGGGCAAGTGAGAAGAACTGGCCTGCTTGCTCAGAGTCAGGAGAAACAGGCTGGGTCTGGTATAGCCTTGCACCTGGCCTGGGTAAGGGCTGGGGCAACCTTTCAGAGGATAGGACAGGACCAAGAATCCAGATAAGGCACAGGACACAGAAAATTCTGGCAGGCATTTGTGTCACATTCAGGGCACACAGGACTCCATGAGTATTCAGAACTGCTCCTACCTATTGAACTGTGCTGTGGCCCAGCAGGTTAAGCCACAGTTGCGACACCAACACCCCTATCCCCCCATCCTGTTGTGCTTCTGATCCACTCCCAGGGAGTAGCAGGAATGAATCGAGTTCTTGGGAAGTGCCTCTCACATGGAAGACACAGCTGGAGCTCCTGGCTTCAGCCTGGCCCAGGATTAGCTGGGCAGCGAGTACACAGCTGGACCCTCTGTCTCTCCCTGTCTCTCTGCCTTTCAGAAAAAAGAAGAAATGGGGGATAAATGGACAGATAAATAAATTGCTTTTAAAGTTCTCTGCTGTGCAAAGGGAGCAGACCCATGGAGTGAGGCCAGCCAGGGGCTCAAGGTGGCTGCCCAGGGACAATGACTGGAGGGAGACTGGCTGCCAGGGTGGAGTAGCGCCTGGACTTGGAAATGGCTGGGAGGTGGTAAGTCAGATGTGGTGGCTGAGAAGTGAGGGATGTGAGGAAGTAAAGGACATTGAGCCTCTGGTGCAGTGCATGGACGTGCGACGCAGCCACCTAGGAGGGGACAAGGCTAGGTAGTTCTGTTCTAATGCAGATCAGACAATGGGACTCAGGTGCCAAGCAACAGAGCCGTGATTCTGGGAAATCACATGGAAGCCACCTGTACCCAGGGCAGGAACAGGGTTGGCTGCACCTCATGGCCTGAGGACCTGGTATGCTCCACACTGCCCTGTGACAGAGCCAGTGACAGATACCAAGTGGCAGATGTGATGTCACACCTCCCACCATGCACATATCATCAAGGGGTCTGTGGCACACCAGGAAGGTGCCAAGCAGTGGAGCCACCTCAGGCATGAACATTCTGTCCTGCCCGGGCTCTGGGGTCCCATGTATGTCACAGCCTGGACACCACTGCCCTCTTGGCAGAGGGAATCCTGCAGCCTCAGCCCTGGCATCATACATAACCACACCCCTACACACAAGCCAGATGCAGTGCTGGCTGCCCATAGGGGGCTCTAAAGGCCAGATGGCACCAAGCACCAGCCCCAATGCCCACGCTATCGACTTGTACAGGCTTCGGCCCAACACATCCTCCAACCCTGAGGTCTGGTTTCTCCTCCATGAAGTGGACACAGCATGAGCCTATGATTGACATGAGGGCCAGGCACATGGAAAAGGCCTGTGGCTGACACAGGTTCCTGCCATGCTCTGAGGTTCCATACCCAAGCATGTAGGCACACTGGTGTGAGCCAGGAGCCCTTCTGACCACATGGCCTGGGCCCATGTTCTGTTGCTGCAGCAATAACCTGGATAGTGCTGATGGTTGGACTCCGAGTAGAGGTTAGACCCAGGGTCCCCAGGGGACCCTCTAGATTCTTCTCAACTTAGCGCCCCTCCTTCCCAACACTGCCTGGTCAAGGACTACACATTGAGCCTTGAGCTCTGGGGACAAGCTCCAGGTTCCACAGGGAGTCCCCAGGTATGAAAAGCCACTGGTGTGGTGCTCACATAGAAGCCCCCAGCCTGTGCCCACAGCTACCCCTCCACACCTCACCCTAACAAAAGGCAGGAGCAGCAGGCTCCAGGTCACCTCTGGTCTGCATCCTGCATCACCAGCACCTGGAGCCGGCGAGAAGGCAGCATGAGTGCAGCAGACTGATACAGGCCCAGCTCACAGCACTGGGGTCCCGCAAAGCAGAGGCAGGAAGGGGTAGCTCTGCAGGGCAGACGCCCACTGCCCTTCCCCTCCTGCCCCCAGAAGCTGCCCAGCTGGGCTCCCAGAACTCGCAGGCTGCAGAGGACATCAGGGTCACTCAGGACACCAGGCTTCCTTCCTAGGAGCCTGGCACACACCCGGCACTCTTGAACCCCAAGGACAGCAGGGAACCCTATTCTCTAGACTTCAGGAGTCTGACAAGCCAGGGCTGAAGAACGGATGTGGGTCCACCAGGCAGTCGAGTGCATGTTTCCTCCAAGTAGAGGTGGGAAGGAAATGACAGGGACCCCATGGGAACCACAAGACAGAACACGAGGACCCCTAGACCCCATAACCAAGGGCCTGTGGTGATGCCTTGGTTCTAAGAAATCACAAGACCAAGTTGACCCTGAACATGGCCACCCCAGGGGATGCTGCACAGCCTGGGGGCATGACGCACCAGCCATGGTAAAGGATACTCACTCCCATTCCTTGCGACGTGCCTGTGGGGTGCTCTGCATCTTGTGTGCTTCGTGAGCCTTGATGATGTCACGCTGCTCGATGAGGCCTCCCCGCCTGCGCCTCATGACCTCAGGGCTCACCGGGAGGAAGGTGCTGCAACCAGCCTCCAGCATGGCCTCTGAGCCTTCATCCATGTCAGACCCTGGCAGCACACACTGCCACGTGGGCCAGGCTGCATCACCAGGCAATGCCAGAGCATGGCGCACAGCGGCCAGCTCAGGGCTCCCGCCCACAGCAGCCAGGCAGGGGGCAGGCGAGGTCAGCTGGTGGCTGGGACTCAGTCCATGCATGGCAGGGACCATTCCAGGACATCGCTCTGCTGGGGAGACAGAGAAAAGGGTCATGGCATCACCCCATCAGATATCACCCTATCAGGACTTCACCCACATCACAGCATCACCCCAGTTAGGATATCACACCATCAGAGCATCACCCCATCAGAGTGTCAGCCCATCAGGAAATCACCCCAGCAGCATGTCACCCTATCAGAGCATCACTCCATCAGAGTGCCACCCCATCAGGATGTCACCCCATCAGAGCCTCACCCCATCAGGATGTCACCCCATCAGAGAGCAACCCCATTAGGACATCACCCCATCAGAGCCTCACCCCATCAGGGCATCACCCCATCAAAGATCCACCCTATCAAGATATTACCCCATCAGAGCCTCATCCTATCAGATCACCACCCATCAGGATGTCAATCCATCAGAGCATCATCCCATCAGAATGCCACCCCATCAGGATGTCACCCCATCAGAGAGTTACCCCATCAGGACATCACACCATCAGAGATCCACCCTATGAGGATATTACCCCATAAGAGCCTCATCCCAGGAGATGTCACACCATCAAAGCCCCACCATTATGATATCACCCCCATCAGGATGCTACTCCATTAGGATGCCATGCCTTCAGAGTGTCGCCCCCATCAAGACTTATCCTCATTACTGTGTCACACTGCAGCTTTACAACTCAGGGTCCAGGGCTATGCCCTGTTTGTCCTGAACACTGTACACAGCAGGTGCTTGATACATGGAACTGAGCACTTAGAGTTCTCCCTGTAGATCAGGCCAAGTGTGAATAACAAAGAGACTGGACACCAACACTGGGCCCCTCACTGTGCAGTGCAGAAGACAGAGGTAAGAACATCCCTGCAGACCCACCGAAAAAAATTCCTGGTGAGCAGAAAAGAGCAAAGCTAAAAACACTTTTAACAAGATTCTTCAACTCAGCAGCACAGCATACTCACAGCCAGGCCCCCTGCTGACCTCAGGGCTCACAGCTGCATGGCAGGGCCAGGTCCCCTGCTGACCTCAGAGCCCACAGCCATGGAAAGGCCAGTCCATTTCCTAGCTACACCCTCAATGTTCCACCAGCTGCTAGAGAGCCCCAGGACATGCAGCTACCCTTCTTACCTGGAAGGCAAGTGCAGCTGCAACTCAAGAGACAGAGAACCCTGAGTATGAGGGAGTCTCAGGGACCGGCAGGCAAGGAGGCTGAGAACAGAGGCCACAGCAGGGACAAAAACCAGAGAAGGAATACACAGTGGAGGGGTCAGCAAGAGAGGCCAGGCAGGTGAAGGAGGACAGCTGTGAGGTGCCAGCCAGGTGATGAGATGATGGGCTCTAGGGGTCAGACGGGAGAACGGAATGATCAACGCCAGGGGCCAGGCAGGGGGTGGTACCACCTTGGCCCCCAGTGATGATGCCTGAATCCCTGCCCTCCATAACCTCTGCTCTGCCACACACAGGCTAGTCCTGGACCCTTGGCCACCTGGTAAGAGGATGGAGGAGATGCATGTTAGATGCTGCCAACAGCGGGGGTGCCTGGGAGTGACTCACACGCCTCAGCTGTCACTGTCTCGGTGTCTCTTGATGGATTTAAATTTATCCTCATTGAGCCATGCTGAAATGTCCCTGCCTCTGCACCTCCACAGCATTCTTCTCCCTGTGACTCCCGGAGCCCAGTTCTCTTCCTCCTGCAACTCGGGTTGCTCCCCTGACCCTGGACGCATTGCCAGTTTGAACCACATCTTTGCCAAAACTACAATAGCAGCAAAATAATGAGCACTGTGGAGCCGCAGCTTCACAGACTCGTCTCCTGAATATCAAAACAGAAATTATCTCATCTCTGCTTTGGAATTCCTGTGAAACAACCTCCTACTATTGACATAAATGTTTGATGAACCATTTGCCATCCCCACCCTCATAGGGTCAACTGATCCCCAGGTCTGTCTCTACTAGGCCCTGCCCTCCAGCCCCTGAACCTCCTGCTGGTTAGCAGGTGCCCACCATGGACAGCAGGACTGCATGCAAACGCTCTGGGACAGTCAGAGGCACTGCCGGGTCCTGTGGCCCTGCCATGAGCTGATGGGAGAGCCCCGGTCAACAGAGGCTATGCCACTGGCTCTGTGTTGCTGTGTAGAGTCTGTCACCTTGGCCAGGGGTCGCAGAGGGCTGACTGCACAGCTGAACTTGAACCCAGGCCCTGAGTTGGGACGCAGAGTGTGAGGCAGGAAAAAACCTGGCCCCACTTAAGCTGATATCACTCCTTTGACACTCCTATGTCCCAAGGGAGCACAGTGCCACGAGACTCCTATGTCCCATGGGAGCACAGTGTGACAGAGTTTATGTCTTGAAATTTGCAGTATATTTCTTCTCTCCTTTATTGCCCAAAATAATCTTTTAACACCATTTTCTACAGACTTTCGAAGGGCTGTTTTACGAACTAACTCACACGTTGGTTCGGTGTCATACATCATCAATGCTGCTACAGCTTAATGCTGAAATCCTTCCACTCCAAAAGCATTTTACGATATAATTCTACAGGCCCTGGTATTTCCCTT